GAAATTATTCTATAGCCGTTTCTAAGGATTGTGTGTAACTTATCGTCCATTTAACTCCACTTAAACAATATTGCAAGTCATGATACTATAACAAAACAAGATAGGTCAACGCGCATGTTCTTGTGACGTGAAAATTAATGGCAGCAAGTTAAACTTTAAAATTAAATTTAAATTTTTCATTTGATGTAATTCTAGTTATATAAATAAAAAGAAAATATAACAGCAGAGCAAATGTTTCTATGGATAATAATAAATGTTGGTATAGATAATAATATATACTAATGCCCATTTTAATAGAACTTGAAGTAATAATTTATTTTTGATAGGTCTTTAAAAAAAGTTACTTTGGATGTATGTGGTATGTAGTGAACTGGAACATATTTTTCGTAGTTATAATGGCGACACATTAAAAATAACAAAAAATTATTTAAAAAACTTAGTAGAAGCTGCAAAATATGTAACTGTTAGCGAACATGTAAAATTACTTTTTTTTAGATGTAAAATGTATTTTAAAATACGAATTCTAAATCAAAATATTAAAGATAATTACAATATCGCAAAAGAAAAATCACAAAGATTGTAAAATAAATGTCTAAATGATATTCATGAGTCTCAAGTTTGACCCGCTTTTCCTTTATGGTCAAATTCTTTACATTTTACCGGCCTTTTATATTTAATTTATGTTTTGTTGCAATATTTATTTTGTTTGCAATACACACAATCAAATCGTAGATTCATATATTTCTTTAATTAATTTTACAAATGACTTCTTAGTGCAAGATATGGCATCGAGGTATACTTACCGTTAACAGTCTGTTTAAGTTTTGAAGTTACATATGATACATACAAGTCCCCTGGCTTTGTCTCGCTATGACGACATGCGCAAAGTCAATTAAAATTAGAACAGCAAGTAAGTTATAGTATCATGATTGCAAGTTGGCTTCATACGCTAACAATGGGTTTTACGCAGGGCCACCTATTCCGAAGTGCAAATTAGCGTTAACCTTCCGCAGCTACGTCACTTGAAGCGTAGTATTCACATTGCTCTTAATTGTATATTAAGCATTCGTAACTTAGTTACCCTAAATATGGATATTTTGCATATTATTTTACTTTCTTCATACATTTCAAATAAAAACAAATGTTTTTTATGTTTTCTCAGTAAAATATCTTTAATTTTTATGCGAATTAGAACTAATAAGGTATTAGTACAAAAAAATAGCTACTTATTTAGGCACCTACATACTTGTACTCTTCATGATGTTTTAAGAGGGAACAAAATTAAATTATACATAATTAATATATACTTAAATTAAATACTTAAAACAACCGTCACTTAAAGAAGTCAGATGCCAATTTTCAAAATAAATATTACGATCGCGTTAAAATTCTTGCTAAATAACTATATTATACTAAAGCAGTTTTTCAAAATTTACGTCTAAAAATAAAAAAACTGTATACATTATGCGATATTTTTTTGTATTTTTCTTTTATTAGTACGGGCTAAAATAATTTTTTATTGAAATCTTTTATACGGAAGTACATACGCGATCGAAAAAATATTTTCTAAAGTCCGCTTTACATTTACATATACGGAGTGCAACTCGGAAGTATAAACGTCTACTCAGAGCCTCTAGTCACTCGGATCCGAGCTCGGATTGAAGTTGAACGCAAACCGAGGGGCAGTACGAGTTCCTGTACGAGTGAGCGTCAAAGTGGTGGAAATTCCAAATTAAAAATGGCGGAACTAAGATTTTCAGCAGATCAAACGGATCAATTTATCGATATTTATCGTTCTTTTGAATGTTTATGGAATGTGAAACTAAAGGAGTATCGGGACATTATCAAAGGAAATAATGCTTTAAATGAAATTAAATTAGGTAATATTTAACTTTAACAAACCTCTTGTAAATATTGTTTCACCCAAATGCTTTTCTTTGTCTTAATTTGTTGTCGTTATTTTTCTCCTTTAAAATGCTAACACTACTGCAACAGCAGCTCGTTTCTTTCTTGATTGAGCCATTTTTAAATTCTCTTTGAAACTACTCTGATCGCTCGGATTTAATGTAAACAATCGCAGTTCCACTCGTAACTCAAATCCGAGCTACTCGGATCCGAGTACTCGTAAATGTAAAGCGACCTTTAGCATCTTGACAATCAATATTAACACTTGCGGATAACAGACTTGAAATATATTGTTTGCCAGTAAATATGGTATCTCCATTAAAGTTTTGAAAAATTTGCTCTAGTTTTTCCAAATGAGGCATAAATTTGTTAAAAGGTTTGGATAGTCCACCTTCTGTTAAATGATTGGTGCAGGTGTAAGACGTCGAACTTTAGTTAGTTAAGTTTGGTATGTTGCGTTTAAGCTTGTTACAAATAAATCCTCCTAAACGTTCTAGTCCATCATATCTTAAATCATGGAGTTTTTCACAGAGGACTATGTCATCTCCATTCGTGGGATTGGTGTTAATGATTGATGGTTTTGAAGCAAGCTTTTCTACCATACTACCGCTCATAGTTAATGTAGGAGTACCATCGAGTAATCTGAAAAAGCACCTTCGATTTTCCCATTAAATACGAACGCAGTCGTTATTTAAAATTTAAAGAAGTTGGATGATCGCTCAAACCACATTTCGCTCTTAAGACCCCAAAAAAATTCTTCAAGTTATCTTGGTTTAAGCGCCTCGTCCAAAGGTAGTTTATATTATACCGTTTCCTTACATCTTCAAGCAGCAACTGCGTAGACTTTTTTAATATAAGAATACCTACAATGTTTTGTAAACTATCATAAATGTGTTTTTACTTTGATATATTGTGTTACCTTTTTGGAACCAAAGAAATGATTTCTCGCCTTTAACGCGCATTGTTGAAATCATGTCAGACATTCTATTTAAAATATCATTTTGCGCTTCTAGCGCCAAACCATAAACCCGGTTTCTGGTTTGAGTATCGCTCACAGAAACGCTCACATTACATCTTCTTTGGGTGCCGTGTCCGTATTCAGACGTTGGCTGTCATCATGTTTACAATTTCCTGAAACCTTTCTCTGTCGGCTGCTGCGCGAAATAATTCTTCTACTGTGGAACCACACCATTGTCTAATATTACGCAGCCATGAAAGTTTCTTTCAACCAATCCATCTCTTTCCTTCCACTTTTCCTTGTATTATAAGGCGAAGTAAATGGTATTTAGGTCCTCTAATTATATGGCCGAAGTATTCTGTTTTTCTCTGAGGAGAGAACGGTTTGTCTCAAGTTGGTCATTCAGAATTATATCCAGGTGCAGTTTTAGTTCCTCAGTTACACAAAAATCTTCACTGATGCATCTAACAAAAATTAATAACTAATTTGTGTAATATCAACAGCAAAGATACTCATCAACTCTTCAAGATACAGTTTGATCGGAAACTAAAACACATTCAAAATTTTTGGCCGCCTTTTCATCTCCCAAGCATCGCGCCATTTTAACACCGCTTGATCAATTCTCCATATCTAAATGCTTTTTTACTTTTAACAAGCTCTAAATATACTTCATATGATACTGCCAACCTTGATGATTGAATAGCTGTCAGTTTTGTAAATAGAGACTTTTATTTACTCAATTTAGCTACTTTTACAAGAGTATTGCGAGCTTCACCTTGATATTTGTCATATTTTGTTTTGTACTGGGTTTCATAATTCCTACTAATATTGTATTCTTTTGATACCGCGAGTACTTGACAACAACTAATGCACTGAGGTTTGCCTTTTAATTCGATGTTGATTTTGGTTAATCAATTTATTCGTCACTGGTAATTCAATACGACACGTGCAGCTGACTGAAGCTAACTGCCCGTTCATCGGGAGTGGGTGTTCAAGGTTAACTAATTTCTTAAGATTACGGAAAGTTAGACAAGGTTGGAGCAGGTAAAAGTTATCAATGACAATATTTTTGAAATGTGTTTGCGGGGGCCGCAGTTTAACGAGCCTCGTGCCGCATGCGGCAAGCGTGCCTGAGGTTGGACCACACTGGCTTAAAATATTTTTCCTTCATACTAGTGTAACAAAATTCTTCAAACATGCCTTTTTTGTGATGATTTAAAATTATTTTTGACTGAAATCGAGAAAATCGAGAAATTGCATTTTTGATGTATCTTTTTAAAAAACCCAAATTAAGAAGAGTGGTACCGTCTTTGTGTATCTCTTATGTTTTCTTCTTATTAATCCACTCATTTAAGGACTGAACCCATTTGAGCACTAATATAATTAACCAGTTCTTCATTTACATAGATATGCTGGAGGCTCAAATCGCACGCAGAATTTTTTTAAAGGTCTTTAATCTTGAACTTGAAATTCAAATTTGACCTAAAGCTATGGGTTCTGAGATGAGAAAGACGATATGAGACAGCCAAAATTCTACATGTTCTATTCTTCTTCTTCTTCACGTGCCATCTCCGCTACGAAGGTTGGCTATCATCATGGCAATTTTGACCCTGGAGGCTGCCGCTCGGAACAATTGTATGGAAGTGCAAGCAAACCACTCCCTGAGGTTTCTCAGCCATGACATTCTTCTCCTACCTATGCTGCGCCTACCTTCAATCTTTCCTTGCATAATTAGTTGTAACAGTTGATATTTATTCCCACGTGTAATATGTCCCAGGTATTATAGTTTCCTCATTTTAACACTCAATACGACCTCCTTTTGTTTGTTCATCCTGTCTAATACAACTTGGTTAGTTATCTTATCCTTCCAGGAGATTTTTAACATTCTTCGGTACGCCCACATCTCAAATGCCTCCAGCTTACCCATACATTGCTTATTTAGTGTCCACGCCTTCACCCCATATAACAGGACCGAGAAAACATAACATTTAAGCATTCGTATTTTCAGCTTTAGGCTTAGGTTTCAGCTTTAGGCTATATTTATATTATCATAAATACTAGATAATTACGTTTAAGTCTATTCTTATTACTCTGCAATTATTTGTTATTTAAATGATGCATATATCTTAACTTTCAGGACCTACAAGACCTTAAAGACAGATTAAACCGATCAGTTCCATTTCAGTCCCCTCTGGAAGATGTCAAACAACACTATGGTATAAATACCAACACTCTCAAACCTATATTAGACTTCTGGAAAACAAAATATGATTGGAGAAAACGCGAAGAATTCTTTAATCAGTATCCACAGTTTAAAACCAACATCCAAGGATTGGATATTCATTTCATTCATGTACAGCCCGCCGAAACTAAAGGAATGAAAGTGTTACCAATGTTAATGTTGCATGGATGGCCAGGATCAGTTAGGGAATTTTACGAAATAATACCACTGCTTACTAAACCAGAAAAAGGAAGAGATTTTATTTTTGAATTAATCATTCCAAGTGTGCCAGGCTACGGTTTTTCAGAGGGAGCAGAAGTAGTTGGGCTTAATCCTGCTGAAATCGCCATTATAATGAAAAACCTTATGGATAGAATAGGTTTCAAACAGTACTATCTTCAAGGAGGTGATTGGGGAGCTGCAATAGTAGCAGATCTCGCTATATTATTTCCAGAAAAAGTTATTGGTGTACACTCGAATCTTTGTTTTGTCAACACTCCAATATCCAATTTTAAATACTTACTTAGTGGTTTTATACCATCTTTATTCGTTGATGAAGATAAGGAGCACTTGGTCTCTCCAATTTGGGACAAAATAGAGTTCTTAATGTTGGAATTTGGTTACACTCATATTCAAGCTACAAAACCTGATACAATTGGTAAGATTTTGTTTTTTATCGTTAATATAATAGTGTATTTATTAGTATTCCTCTTCTCAAACCTCTTTATCTCTTACTTAATCTAATTTAGAATCTAACAAGTACTTTTGGGTTTCTGTTGCTTTTTCATTTGAGCCATGGTTATGGTTATGGTTATGATACATCGTATTTGTGAGCCCTTCAGACAATTAGAGCTCCTCCAACGGGTCGACTGCGGGCTCCCTGTTATACGAACCAGGCCTATAAGGACCTAGCCTTCGGTGATTAGTAACCTCGTGGCCTTACAGAAAGCCACAACTCTCCTTAAGGATTACTATCTGATTTGGCTTGGTTGCATAAAGGCCAAACTTAAGATCTTCCACCTCTGATTCGCCAGTACCGAGCACTTCCAGAGAACATGTGAGGAGGTTTCGTCCTTTTATACACAGATGGAGATTTACCACCACAATTGACCCAGGAGTTCTGAAACCTCCGCAGAAAGAGCTCTTTGAGACTACCCCGACCAGTATTGAAGGGCACTCCAATCACAGTTTTGTGTTCCACAGGCAGTGTGTATAAGTACTGTCATCAGCCTGTTCTTTCTCTTTCACGCCTGTGTATCTCAGTACCCATACCAAGTTAAACCTATTGGTTACCGCAACATTACCAAGTGCTATATTACACTCAACAACCAGCTTAGAGGTGACTTTAAAAGCCATTAGTGTTGTTTGAGTGTCAAAGCAGATAGAGATGGTCCTGCCTGAGAAAGTCCTATCTATTATTTACTGAGCACATACTAGGATCGCAAAGATCTTGGCCTGAAATACTAATGCACTAGAGCCAAGAGCCTGGTCAAATACAAATCCGATTCTACTACCAGTCAATTCGGGGCTTGGCTAAAACCAGTCAATTCGGGGCCACCACACATTGGTTGCATAGATCCGTGTATTTGAGCTATACTATGACTAGTAATAATTCCTGTGCGAAAAGTCCTTTTGAGTCCATTTTGTCTTCAATTTTAATTTTTCCCACCGTCCTTTAACTTTTTTATACTTTCCATTTAATATTCATTGCATATTCTGCTTCTCTTCTCATTTTACGTTATTCTAAAAATATAAAAATACACGTGAAGTTTGTCCAACGTGTTTCTTCCGAAAATACATACAAAATACTCTTCCTTGCAATTAATTTGTAAAATTGTAGGTGTTGCTCTTCGTGACAGTCCAGTAGGTCTAGCTGCATACATTTTAGAAAAATTCACCACATGGACGAATGCTGCCTTTAAAGATTTGGACAGTGGTGGCCTGACCAAAAAGTTTACTATGGAACAACTAATAGATAATGTTATGATATACTGGGTTACTCGATCGTCAACCACCGCTATGAGACTGTATGCAGAAAGTGTGAATAGGAAACATTTTACTACAAATATGGAAGGGTAAGATTTTTTGTTAATTTAAAAAAATGTAGACAGTTGTATTATTTTTAATTGCCTTTATTCTTCTTATTCTTCACGTGCCTTCTCCTCCTCAAAGGTTGACAATCCTAATTGCTATCCTTATCTTTGTCGAAGGTTTTATTACAGTCTAAAAAACAAATATAATATATTCCTCCTAATTTATATCTAAATATCTCTACCCTACCAGTACCTGTTCCTAAGCCGTTTCTTAATCGGGACTGGGTATTACTGATGTCATCTTCTAACGTCATGTATATTGTGAATGATGAAATATTTTTAATACAATGCTTTTTCTACGTATAAGTTAAACAACATTGGAGAAAGTTGACAAGCTTGCCTTACTCATTTTTTAATTTAGAAATCTTTCATTTCGTTCCAATTTTGAAGACATATTATCTTTGCTGTCTTGTTCCAATATAGATTGGCGATAACTCTTATATCCTTGGCATCAAATCTTTACTCTTGTAGATATTTTATTATTATTTCGTTCTTTAAGATATATAAACATAAAATGGTACATCCCACTACACTACACAAGGACAAACACATTAACATTTTTAAAATAGGCGAAGCTACATTGTGTACGGAAGTAGGAGACAGAATGGCTCTTGTCGGATAGGCCACAATTGACGAAATGCCCCTGAAGGTGCTCTAGGGAGCGAAAGTACTTGGGCAAGATTAAATTAATTAAACTGTGCTCTAAATAATTTGCCTTTTATTTGATCAAAGTTCATTTATTCGAGCATTCAACCTTATATCAACTTATTTTCTCTGTTCTTCTATCTTTTTTTTTTTTCTTGAAACAAAAATCGTAGAACTTCACTTGGTTTAAGAAAGAACTCTATTGATGTTTGGGCTAAGTAGCTTAATAGCTACAGAGTTGGTTTACATATAAATCCCATTTTGTCTAATGGTATCAGGTCTTCAATGCTTCGTTGTAACTTGTTGTTTACTGACTTTCAATATCTTTTGTTGAACTGATTTAATCTTTATATTTTGTAACAAAACCTTCAAAGAAAACAGAAAAGACTATTTATAATCAAGAAAAGAAGGAGAAAATTTAATTTTAAGTAACAAAAATTTGAAATTCTTTATGTGGCTGATAAGATACCAATTACCAGTGTTTTTCTCTATCGTAGTCTTTTTATATATTTTTTGTTCACTTCCATGTTTTCACTGTTGTGCTTATAGTCTGGGTCCAATACAAGGATGAGATTATTGTAAGATATATATTATTTAGACCAAAAAATATAAAATTCTTCTAGAATCTCTAATGAGATCACTCCAATAGTGCATATGAATGATCGGGTGATTTGTGAATTTAAAAAACATGCCATTAAACTTTTTTCACTTCATTTTTGATGACGTTATTATATTCTTTAATCAAATACAACTCAAGCTTCTTTTTGTTTGTAGAATTCCAGTACAACCTCCAAGTGGCTGTTCGAGGTTTGAAAAAGAAATCATTTGGTTTCCAGAATCTGTTCTAACTGAAAGATTCGTAAATATGGTTCATATAAGCACCCACCGTGATGGCGGCCATTTTGCTGCGTTTGAAGTTCCTCACGTTTTAGCCAAAGATATTTTCGACTTTACAGAAATTGTTGAACGTAGTATTAAAGAGTAATCTCAGTATTAGAATAAGTGTATTTAATAATTGTTATAAGATGTTTTATTAAAGGTTATATAAATTTTTGTTTTATTTGATAAATTCATTATTTGTTGTCTAAGTGGTACAGTGGCTCTTGGCATATGTAGAAGACTGTGTGGGAAGAACTGGCTACTAAGTTCAAAAATGAATCTTTAACCATAACGGTTATAAGACGTTTCAGTGGCATGGTGGATCAAAACTCAACAGTTTAGAGCGATTTGGCTGCTTAATGGCACATAAAAGCTTGCTTGATTAAGTGTCACGGTAGACATGAGAAGAGCCCACAGGCTAATAAAGGATTAATCTATTCTGTACAAACACAATGAATGGAGCTTAAACAAGGACATATCAGGGGATATAGGCCGACTCCCTTCTGAGTGTGACTGTAGACCGGATAAACATTTTAATATCATAATACCAAAGACAGAAGACTGGGAAATATCTCTACCAGTTACGGCAAAATGACGGCTGCAAAACTTATAAAGGTGCAGGAGTTGGTGTACATTGTACAAGACCAAGGAGAGAAATTTTCCACCGTATTAAGCTTGGGATATCTTCCACCGTATTCCAGGCAGAATTTGCCACTATATCCTTAGGATGGGTAGGGGGTGAAATAGGGAAAGCTTGGAGTTTATCAAGTGCTAATTATGGCCATATTTACGTGATTATGTTAATGATGGTAATTTGTAGCAGAAGTTCTACAAAAGAAATGAAGACCTATTTATAGAAACAACATAACTGTATTTTTAATATTTTACATACAATAGAAAAAATCTAATTTCTATGAAAGAATTGGAAATTTGAATATTATATATAATATCTATAAATAATATCATTTCCAAGTTTCCAAATTGTTTCCTAGAAATTATGTAGGTTTTTTCTATTTTATGTAAAACATTAAAACTACAGTTATTGTATGTTGTTCTTGTAAAGAGTGTTCAAATGATAGTCTTATGAATATGATTCAATTGTGTATCTCATGTTGACGTTTTATACGCAAAATTCATAGTTTTCGTTGTCAATAACTTATCAATGCCTTTTTATTCTACTGTATACGTACACACGATATAAAATATTTTACTCGTACTGCCGGCAAATGCATTTTATCCCAGCCGGTGCTGTGGCCCTATCTTACCCGTACTGCACTCTAAGTTTGACATTTTCTATAGAGTTGTAAAATAATATAGGCCATGAAATAAAAAGTAATGCAAAATATAAAATAAAATATTTTATTAGAAAATATAAATAGGGTCAATAATTTATACTGATAGAAAAAAAAGAACTGTTAAGTAACGACGATCAAAAATTGGGACACTTCGAAAAATAATTTGAAAATCACGAACACGTTCTTTTTAAACATAATGCATAAAGCTAACAGACGTAGCATTTTGATAAACGTAGTGGAGTTTCCAGTTTTATTCGAGAATCACATAGTTTGACGTTTCCGGTAATGGGACGAATATTGATTCTAGTCAGTCTTGGAGAACTTTTCCTTTATCATAAATGCGATTGAATAAAAGGACAAATATTTGGATGTGTTCTTCGCGTATTAATTTTAATGTTTCTTGGTATATTTTGTCTGCACCTAGGATCTTATTTGTTTTTTGTTGATTAATAGTATTTATAATTTAGGTGCTCAGAATTCTTGGTCCTTCGTTGTTCTTGTCCAATCTAGTATGCCCGTAAAAAGTATTTTAATATAGTTTTACATTCTTATTAGATTCATCAGATTACATTCATCGACCTACCTAAAGAAGTTGCCATTTTAGATAATAATTATAAAGAAAAAATAAAACTTAAGGCAATATGTTATCATATTATGGCTTACTTCATCGAAAAAACTTTTTCTGTGCTGAACATAATGTTGAATAGTCCTCGTAATCCTTTATAATCATTAATATTCCCAAGCTGCTTTGATTATTACAAATTTAATGGAATAGGTGTAGATTAATTGAACTGTTTGTGGAGGAATATTTTGATCCACTTGAACTCATTAACCTAGAACCTATGACCTTCGATCTCTCAACCAGCGCGTCCTTCAAATTAAAAAAAAAGTCATTCCTATCAGCCAACATGCGTGTACTCACGTGAAGTTTGCCCTGTTGCAGTGTTGTGTGAGAAGTTGACAAACAAACATGGGATGTTGCGCTAAAGTTGGGGCTGCTGTGTCAGTCATTTTAGCCATTTTAATTATCTACAGTACAAAATGTTTGTTTGACACGTCAGAGGTGCCAGATTTGGGAGAGAGATGGTGGAAAGTCGCAAAGCCGGCGAAAGTAGATACTAGTATCAAACCGTTTAAAATTCAGATTTCAGATGAAGTGAGTTTTCGTTTGTTTGTAAAACTTTTTGTTGGCTAATCGTCATAATTATACATTATTTTTTGTTATTGACATTGATAACATTAGTTACACAACAATTTGGTTGGAAGAAGCATGTATGTACAATTTACACAAATTTAATTTTTAAACTTAAATGAGAAACGAACTTTTAATTCGATGAAATTAAACATCAAGCGACTAGTGACATATTTCCTTGTAACACCCGATTTGTTTTAAAACCATTTATTTATTTAGCGATTTTAGCACAACTTAAAGAAAACGTTATGAAGTTCAAACTTTACATGAAAATGAAATTACTACAATACAACATTAGAAATAATACGATTGAACGTTGACGTTAGTGTATTATATATTGTTGTGTATTGTTTTATGTAATTATGTGTTACGATTAAAATTAAATCCTGAGAACATGTAACTATAGTTTATTTTTATGAACGAGAGAGTAATTAGCATAATTTTAACTGGTAGCTCCGACCACTCCATGGGCGTGCTCAAGATTAATTGAAAAATTACTTTGAATAATTGTAAAAAATAAATGAATTATTTCAGTGTTATAAAGTGTTATGTGTATGTAAACAAAAGTGACCTCTTTTATCACACACTATATTAGAACTGGCCTACATTAAAAAATGTTTTAAAAAATTCACATTTTTTTTTTAATTTTTAAAAATTACAAAAGAGAAAAAGAGTTTTTAAAACCGTCTAAGGTATGTTAAATAGATGAATAAAAATATTAATATAAAACTTACAGCTACTTGTTACAAATCCAAATCAGATTCAGAAGATGAACTGTCAGAACCAAGATTTATAATAACTGGCTCGATCATTTTATCAGTAATATTGTCCAGCTTCCACATTTTTTCCTCTTCTTTAATAGTGTGATTTACTGCCTTTTCCCAGTTTTCAGGTTTTACATTATTTACGGCCTCCAAAAACAACTGTTTAACATCATGAATTTTAAAAGTGGTATTTTTTCTTGAAACTTCACTCTTTATCTGTGCCCATGCCAGTTCAATCGGGTTTAAATCACAATGATATGGTGGGGATCTAAGTACTGTCATTCCACGATTTTTGGCAATTTCATCAATTTCGTATTTTTTAAATTTTTCTTTATGAAGGGCACATAACGAATAAAGTTCCTTTCTTATAGATCCGGGATAGTACCTACGTAATATTTTTTGAACTCAGCCAATTCTGCAAGTCTTTTTTTAACCACTTGGTTGTGGGCAGTCCTTCTATAAGTCTGGAGTGATAACTTGCATTATCCATTACTATTACACAGTTCTTAGGAAGAAGATCTATCATTTGTTCGAACCATTCTTGAAAGATATCAGCGTTCATGTCTTCATGGTAGTCACCGGTACGAGTTGATTCAAAAGTTAATAAACCACCTTCAACAAAACCGTCTGAACTGCCAATGTGTACTATTATCAGCCTGCGTCCCTTTCCTGATGGTGGGTTTCAACCAGTAGATAAGTTATTTACAAAAGCGTGCCTTTGACTTGTAACAGTTTCATCCTGCCAAAATTTATTTGGTGTATGACCCTCGTTGATCCATGTTTCATCAAGATAAAATATTTTTCTTTTTTGGTTTCTCATTTCCTTTATGGTTCTTAGAAAATATCTTCTCCATATGACAATATCGCTTCTTTCTAATAAAATAGACTTTCTGGGATTCTTTTTCCAGCGGAAGCCTATTTCTTTTAAAAGTTTCCATAACGTACTTCGACTCATTTCTGGGTAATCCTTATCATCTCGAACTGAGACAAGAACTTTATCCAATGTTGGAAATTCTTGTCTAAAGAAGAATTCATGCACTTTCCGTCGAAGTCCTTCTTTAAAATGATATTCTATTTGAAATTTTGGTTTCCCTGGAGCATTACGTGGCATTTGAAAACTACCACCTTTATCTTCTTTAATACCAACACCAAGTGTACTGCTAAATAACTCAACGGCCTCATCAACACTTTTACATAAACGTTTGTCTGTAAATGATTTAAAACAATTAAATATTAATGTTTTTTCATTAACTGTTAAAGGACCAATTTTTCGGCATTTACACGGCACTTCCAAATTTTCCATAACACTAGTATACACAATAAACTGCACCTTGCAACTGAAATACCTACTTTTAGTGAACTGTTAAGAACTTTGAATACGCCACTTGGACCTTCCTACAAAATGGAAAAACCCACTATCATATTTTCTGTGGAATAAGTTAAGCAGGTAATTATCTAGTCAATTACTGTCGTAGATTCCTGGAATTAAAGAATTAAATGTTTGATTGTTGAAACCCTTACTTCGTTGAATGCACTCATTTCAGATAAAATAAAACGTTTTATTTTATCTAAAGAATTAAACTTTATTTTGCAAATAGGTAGGTACTTATTAAACTTTTATTGGTTATATATAACCAATAAAATAAACATCTTACATTTCTTGCAAATTCATTAGTACCTGTTAACCTCCATCACTCCGACACTGGCAACCTTATTTAGGGATTTGTAACCCTCACAACTATTGTATTCTATTCTGCTCCAACCTTTATACCTGGTGGTCATACTCAATTTAAAATTGTTTTCCTATATACTTCTGTAAACTTGTTGACAAATATCTGTTTTTCATTGAGTCACCCGTATCAACAGTTTAGGGATTTGCATACATAATTTATTGTTTTATTACTCTCTCATACATAAAAATACACTATAGATGAGACAGGGTCATTGCTAACCTTTTTATGTTCTCTTTTTTGGATATCAAATGGGACTATTTCTGATAACACGAGAAGCCATTGGATAAGGGTGCAACATATTGTAAAACCCTGTTACCACATAGTGGTGTAGGGCGACAATACATTATAATACAAATACAATTATTTAATATTAATATCAAACTTTATCTTATCTGTAAACTTAACTATATTTTACTGTATATTTAGATTATGTACAAATTTGAACTATTCCTTCTTATTTCTAGCCAGTGTCGTTGCTTCTGTCCATGTTGTTTCCCTTTTTTCGGTGATGTTTCCTAGGGTTTTATCCCATGTTTGTTGTGGTCTACCTTTCTTCTTTCTTCTTTGCTTCATTTTCTGAAGATAATAGCACCAACTGAGTTGCCTTCTTTCTACATATTCCAATGTTGGCTCTATTTAAAAATTTTCTCTTAATTCAATGTTTTGTAGTCTTATCTATTTTGGTAATCCTCGAACTAGTCTCAAATATTTCATTTCTACTGCCTATATTTCACATAAAGTGTAAACGCATGCCAAAAAAAGATCACTTGAGAAAGGCAATCAGCCGAAACACTGTAGTGATAAGAGGTTAAAATAAATTTTGTGGAAGTTTGAAAACAAAGTTTTCAGTGTTTTATTGTTACGTAATTTCTTCCATTTATTTTTATATCTACAGGTTTTAAAAGATTTAAAGAACAGGCTCGATCATACTCTTCCATTCCAACCACCATTAGATGGCGTTAAACAAAACTATGGAATGAACACTAATCTCCTGAAAACTATAGTGGACTATTGGAGGAACAAATACAATTGGAAACAAAGAGAGGAGTTTTTCAATCAGTATCCACAGTTCACGACCAATATTCAAGGACTTAACATCCATTTTCTTCATGTCAAACCTGCTGAGACTAAAGGAATTAAGGTTTTCCCGATGTTGATGTTGCACGGATGGCCAGGTTCTGTTAGAGAGTTTTATGAAATTATACCACTTTTGACCAAACCACAGAAGGGAAGAGATTTTGTGTTTGAACTGATTATTCCAAGTTTACCAGGTATGATATTATTGTATGTTTAAACTTTTACTTAACTTGGTTTTAGAAAATGATGGCAAAATATCTTAGTAACTTAAGATTCAAATTTTCTCTTCGATTAAGCCTCTGTAGCACCCTGTCATTACACCTAGTCCACTAATCACTTCTAAGCATTGGTAGAGAGTGTCATGTAATCTTTTATCATTTGCTGATGCTTTTTTTATCTCTTATGCAACTGGAAGAGCATTGTATATTAATGTCGTCTGTTTTTATTTATATAAATTAATTTATCCTTGGGTTGTTGTATCTAACTTGCAACATTTTCCAGATAGCACTGTAGTTTGTTCCTTGTTTAAATGTTGTATCATTCCGCTTGCTTCTCTTCGAATGCTTGCATTTGATAGTTAGTTGATCTCATGTATCAAACGTTTAATCAAAACATGGCACGTTACCTATGATTCATATTTACCCTCAAATAGGGGAATCTTTACTTGAGGTAATACTATTTTTTCTTTGTTGCATCCTTCCTCCTCCAATCTTGTATTTTAAGATCATATTTTGTCTTAAGATCTACGGCATCCTCTTTTTCATTACATAAAATATTTTTACTTTCCTTTCTTCTTGCTCATCCTGTTCATTCTCTAGGATATTTAGTATCATTAGGCTTAAATGATTGTTCCATTCTACTTCTACTTTTCTATTTCTTACCCAGATCTTAATGTTCTCCGCCTTGCATCTACGTCATATATGTGTACTTCTAGCTAGTGTTTTACTGCCAATTTTTATAAGTGTTTTCATCTCTGCTGTTTCTAACAGCTTTTTTGTCCTCTCCGTGTCAGGTCGAGTTTCTGCTGTGTTAGTCAATATTGGTCTTATGACTGTTTTGTAAATTCTGCCTTTCATTTCTTTCCCGATATTTTTATTTCATTCATTTATATTGTTTCATTCAGGCAATCTGCGGCTCTGTTTGCTCTATTTACTTGATCTTCCACTTCCATTTTGAGCTTTCCGTAGCTAGATAATGTGATGCCTAGATATTTAAATGCCATCACTTTTTCTATTATCTGACCTTTCAGCTCCAATTTACATCTTAGAAGATTTGCTATTATAATTATGCATTTTGTCTTTTTGGGGAAATAAACATGTTAAATTTTCTGGCAGTTATATTCAATTGGTGCAGCTTACGTTGTAAATAATCTTCACTTTGAGAGAGTGGTATTGCGTCGTCTGCATAGCAGATTATTTTAAGCTGTTTTTCTCCTATTTGGTATTCTTTTTTAGTTCATACTTTTTTTTACTTCATCCATAAACAAAGTGAACAATACAAAACTCAGAGAATCTCCCTAATTTATCCCATTACTAGCTTCAATAGGATCAGTTAGTTCTTCTTCTACTTTTACTTTTATTGCATTGTTTTGGTCGAAATTTTTATCGTTTTGATTATTCCTAGAGGTATCTCTCTTGCGTACAATAAGTATTGTATGTTGTATGTACATATTTTAGAGCTTGGAGGTTTGGTTCAATAATAGTTAGATATGTATCAATACTTCAATACTCACAGCTCTTTGCTCTTGTATACTATTTTATTTCTTAAAGAATTTTAGTGTTGTTAATAACGGTGGTGTAATTTACCACGTACAGTACAATTTTGCATTTTTTAGGTTATGGGTTTTCTGAAGCTGCTGAAGTACCTGGGCTTAGTCCACCCCACGTAGCCATCATTATGAAGAACCTTATGGCTCGATTGGGATTCCAGAAGTACTACCTTCAAGGAGGTGATTGGGGCTCAACAATAATCTCAAATTTAGCCTCTTTTTTTCCAGAAAAAGTGCTAGGTATCCATTCCAATTTGTGTTATGTCAATAGTCCTCTCTCTAATGTAAAATTAGCATTGGGCAGTCTCATGCCATCTTTGGTTGTTGACGCCGACCAGCAACATCTGGTTTATCCCAGAATAAAAATTTTTGGATTCGTTTTGCTGGAAACTGGTTACATGCATCTTCAGTCTACTAAACCAGATACCATTGGTAAGTTTTAAAATTATTAAAAGAGAAAAAAGTTTTTGAAACTGTGGCATGTTTTTCATTGTAATGAAAATTACACTTTACAATTGTTATTTGACGTTTCGTGTCGATTTTCACTCTGGAAATTGTTTCCATAAAAGAATATTTTAAAATAGTGTGATGTTTTTGTAACCAAGTTTTTAGTAAAAATAGTCAGTGGTATTAAGATGCCACAAGTTTAGTAGACACTAACAAAAAACACGTGTTGACTCAACGTTGTCAATATTCATGTAACCCCAACGTTTATTTGTAGAATTTGTTAATATAGTTAACATAATTATTTATAACTATGATTATTCTATTTTTATAAATAACTCCTCCATGTAGTCTCAAGCGAAATAAATAAATAAAATCTTTAATTCCAGGTGTCGCTCTACGGGAGAGCCCTGTAGGTCTTGCAGCTTACATCATAGAGAAGTTCACCACATGGACCAATCCTGCATGGAAAGACTTGGAAGATGGAGGATTGACAAAGAAATTTACTTTAGAAAAGTTGTTAGACAATGTCATGGTTTACTGGGTTACCAGATCTATCACTACCTCCATGAGGTTGTATGCAGAAGCATTTAATTCTAATTACTTCGTCTTGAACACCGATGGGTAATTTAATAATTTTTTAAATTTATTATTAACATTTATTTGAAAGTTATTTGTATTTTGTCGTCTATTATAAAAAATGGAAAAGTTAGTCACTAAAGACTTTTAAATTAAAATACATTTACCAAATTCATATTTAAAGTCAAGAATTTCTTGAAGAACCTGAAACTATTTCGTCATGAGGGGTGCCAAATCCGTTATGTGAATTTAAAAAATTTTTTTTTTGTTTGACAGTTCGATTCCATTTTTGCCGCTCTATCGATTGGTATTATCCGTTTTGTGAAATTCGACATAGAACTTGCACTTGCTTATCCTTTATGTGTTACAGTCGTTATAGGAAGATCCGTTATGTGTTTGAAATAACACATAACGGATTTGACAGTTCTTCATACCTACGTGCACGACACAAGAAATGTGTTCTCGTGGTGAAAAACTCTTGTTAAAATAATTGAAAGCTTATCAAAACTACGTATTTTTCACATTAAAATCAGTGTTATAATAAATATAGTGGTAAGTACTAATTATTGTTTTCCTAATAAAACTAAGTAAGCACCTACTTAAAAACGACATCGCAAAACTAACCTCAAATTTATCCTTTTTGTGTGCATTGGCAGCGGGGTACTAAATCTAAACGTTCGATGTTCTTCCTAAGGTGCTATAAAACTACAATGAGGCTTTTTTGCGTTACCGGCATATTTTGTTTTTTACAGGAACTATGTGTTCTGCTTCACAGCGATCCATACTATTGCTTGACCTAGCAGTAGGTAGAAGAAGTATAGATTCCAATATCCCTTCAACGTCAAAGATATCAATTTTATCTGATGTTTTCATATCTGATGTTTCCATATCCAAATCTTATGATCCAACAAGCAAGAAACATACTTTTTATGGTACAGAAAATTGCCAATCTGGTGAATTGGATCTAGCTCCTATAAAAACGTCTCCTTTCAAGTATGCTCCATTTGGAGAGACAACAAATGAGGTTCATTGTGGTAATCAGATTTATGTACCTACTTGTGAAGAATCGGAAGTTGTGGAGTTCACTTCAAAGCCCCCACCAAGCACTTGTTGTAATTCAAACCATATATTGGAAACCGGGTGCAATAGTCACGTATTACCACAAATACCTACAGGTGAATTCATTCTAGATGCAGAGACTGGCATTCTCAAACTCGTAGATGTTAGAGAAATTGTCGGCTCGAACAATTGTTACTTGGATGAAGTCAGTGGTCTATTTTTACCGAACGAACCATCTGAGGTACCTGAAAACTTCGATATTAACGATAGTAGCGGCTCCGAGACTTCCGATACTAAAAATGTTTCTAAAAATCGAAATAAAAATAAGATACAACGGGTTCTAGGTCAAAAATACAACAGCCGTAAAAGGAAATGCATTGCTGATGACAACAATAAATCCAAGTCTTACTATGACCTGCATACAGGAAAGTCTATAAAAAATAAACAATGCTTACATTCTGCAACCGCTAAGTCTGATAGCAGCTTTCTCTACAGTTTGATATCAGAAGACAGACGGAAATCCCTTTTCAAATATTTCTGGTCTCTTGGTATCTGGGAAGCAAAGAAAGCATACCTCAAAAATCTTATCCGCATGCGCCCCGTGATCAGACGACGTAAAGAGTGTGTCACTGATAATCAGCATAAAAATTTAGCATTCGACTATTTTCTTCCAGACGACGAAAATATACCTGTAAGAGTCTGTAAAAACTTTATAATGCACACGTTAGACTTGCAGGCTGAAACCGTCACGGAATGGATCAAGACGTTTCAGGCGGAACAACCTGAAAATGGGACAAACCAAGACCTGAGAACTAGACATTAAAAGCGAACGACCAAGACAATAACAGGATGTACGTTGAAGATACCTTCGAGAGTAAGGCTCACATGCACCGGATCTATCTTATTTGGTGTCAAGACAACACGAAACCAAAAGCTAGCAAAAGGGTCGTCTACATGGTATTAGAATCAGAAAAGGTTTCCATCTTCAAACCTCGGAAAGACCAGTGCGATGTGTGTGTTTCCTACAAAGAACGACATACATCCGAAGAAGATTACAAACTTCACATTCTGAAAAAGAATGAAGCTATGATTGCTTAATCAGACGCTCTAAGCTTGACGGTCTTTTCAGACGTATTGGTTATTACTATGAATGTACAAAGAGTCCTACTGTGTCCAAAAATATTAGTTTCTGTTCAATACTACAAGCAGAAATTGCAACTGCACAATTTTTCTATATACTTAAACAACACACAAGATGTACACCTATATGTATGGCATGAGACGAATGGTGGAGTGACGTCCAATGAATTCACAAGCTGCATCGTAGATTTCTTAAAAAAGCAAACGGCATATAAAAAGTTCATATTAATTTCAGACGGATGTTCCTACCAAAACAGGAACAAAGTCTTGGCTTCTGCTTTGACAAACCTCTCGAAGACCCAAAATGACGAAATAGAGCAAATAATACTCGAAAAAGGACACACAATGATGGAGGTCGACAGTGTACATTCTACGCTAGAGAAGAAATTCAGGCCACCAATTTATGCTCCTGTCGACTATGTAACTAAAATGACCGAGGCCAGACCAAGACAACCATATAATGTGCATTATTTGGACTACACTTTTTTCAAAGACTATGAGAAGGTTTGCAATTATGATTCTATCAGGCCGGGAAAAAAAGCTGGAGATTCTACCGTGAATGACATCAGAGCTTTGCATTACACAGATGGTGAAATATATTATAAACTACGTCAGCCAGATGACTGGCAGAAACTTCCTCAGCGTGTGCGAGTAAACAGTAATAGCTTGAAATCTCTGTATACTGAAGCTCGGAAAATCGAAGGTACAAAATTCGAGAATCTCCAATCATTGAAGCAATACCTGCACTCTGACTATCATGGTTTCTACGACAGTCTAACTCACCTTTAATTCTTATACCAAACTGATAGTGTCTGCTTTGTGTGTAACTGGAGATAAGTATTTTTATCGTTAAGTGATTTTATATTATAAAGATTTTGGTCTCGGAATTGGTTCTGAGTAAATTTTTTCTATGAAAACATTGTGCAGTTTTTTTTTATAATTAATCTGAGGCAATTTTCTTGTAGATTTTAACACATAGTGGTCAAGTTTAGCGGTAAATTTAGCTACGTGCAAATCCTTCATGTGCGTACTATCACATGCAGGAGACTTGTAATACCGAAAAAATCCGTTATGTGCAGATATTGAGAAAAAAAAATTCTGGCGCCTTAGTTTTTTGTTTATATGTAAAAAATTTACATTGGATATATGCAAAAATATATAATTTAATTTTCGGCATTAAAATTTTTTTCATAGGAGTAGTAGAATAAAAATAAAACAGTATTTTTGCTCTCCTGAAAAGTTACCGTTTTTCACATAAAGGATTTGGCACCCCACATGACGATTTGCAGATGATCTTTAATATTATTCTTATTTTGTAGCCTTCCCATCGATGTTCCCAGCGCGTGCTCCCAATTTGAACACGAGATTTTATATATACCAGAATCAATTCTAAAGGAAAGGTACCGTAATTTACTGCTAGCAAGGTCACATAAAACCGGTGGGCACTTCGCTGCTTTTGAAGCTCCAAATGTTCTTGCCAAAGACACTTACGATTTCGTTGAAAAAGTTCAAGATTTCGATAACCAAAAACTCAGAAATTAATTTTTTATGTTTTTTGTTGTAAAAATTTTTTATAAAAAGTTATGATTATTCTTGTTTCTTTTTGTTGTTAAAATGAAAAAAACTGAAAATGATTTTACCAAGAGATTCTATGCTGTTCAATTGACAGACATTGTACTGAAGTGGCTAGTGGTCATATAAATTCCTTACAAAGCACATTATACCTTAGCAAAATCATACAGTCTGATTTAATTTATATTGAAAACCATGAAAAGCCGCGCTGCACAATCTGGTGTCGAAACTCGAAAGGAGTTTACACCAGAAAGAAGTCGCCCTTGTTGCATTTTTATACATAAAAGGTGCGTTTGATAATACCTCCATCGAGTCAATACTTAGTACACTGGTGAGGAAGAAAATCAACAACACAACATACAAGTGGATTATTCAGATTCTTCAGAGCATAATAATATCCAACATACCTATGAATATGGCCTGATTCATGGGCTTAACAGCCAAGGAATCTGGGCCCCGGGTTTCGCAGACGACATTGTCATAGTGACTAGGGGAAAATTTTCCAGTACTGTTGTTGATCAGATGCAATATGCCCTTCATTACATAGAGAATTGGTGTCTGAATGAGAACCTTTCTGCGAACCCTTCCAAATCTAAATTAGTAGTAGGCTGCACTAATAAGAGGAATGTTACTGGACTGAGTGAGCTGAAATTAGTTGGAAGGAACTAGGAAAAAATCAATGAGCTCAAGTATTCAGAGGTAACCCTGGACTTCAAAACTCAATTATAGCACTGGTATTAACGATATAACCAAGAGGACTACGCGACTCTTCTGGAAATGCAGACGAGTTATAGGTAAAACCTGGGTATTGGAGCAAAGGTAGTTTGTTGGTTATACACATCAGTGATACGACCGACAATTACTTATGGTTCAATACTTTGGTGAAAAAGACTGCTTTTTAATATTGTAAGACCTCTCTCACCACCCTACAACGACAAGCGCATCTAATTACAATAGGAGAAGCCTTAAATAATACAGGAACAGCATCTTTAGATGCTATCACAGGTCTCCCAATGCTTGAATTATATATTTCGACATATCCATATTTATGGCCATCCTGAGATTTAGTCAACAAAAATGATACTGAAACTATGCTTGAGGAATCCATCCTTTATTATAAACTGAGATATAATGACACCGAAATTAATCTTTACTGAGAAGATTAACACAATTATAGTATCTAGAGGATAAAAAGTGCCAAATATTAATGGGGACTTAAAATTCACTGTTGGATCTAAAACTGCCCATTGTACTAAATCAGGAGTCTTTGGGCAGACATGTAATTACAATAGATCTCACAGTCTAGGTCAATATACAACTGTATTCCAGGCTTAAAGTTTAGCTTTGATGGCCTGCATTGATAAAATCATAGATAGAGATCCCAACGCAAAGAGACTCAACATTTAAACAGATAGTTAAGCGGCTATATTCGGGTACTAAAAAGCCCACTCAACAAATAAAAACTAGTAAGGAATTTCAAGGATCTCCACAACAACTTGGCAAAAGATAATAAAATGTATGTAATATGGGTGCCGGATCATCAACTTTTGGTGTAAATTAACTGAATTATTTGTGGAGGAATATTTTGAACCAGTACTGCTTGACCTAAAACTGCTTTTAGACCTTCGATCTCCCAACCGCAACCGGCGCGTCGCTCGTTCAAATTTAAATAATTAAACTTGCCGACCGGTGTTGTCACCACTGTTGTCAAGTCTACCGTTTTTGCGGTAGAGTACCGTTTTCAGGTTACGTATTACTGCTCAAACGGCTAACAAATCTACCTCAGAAATTGAATCACACTTTTAAATTATTTTTTTCCATAGCTAATGTTAAAATGTTGCTATAACATAAAGTGGACACTTTAACAGCAACAGTAGATAAATGTTTTTCTACTGTTTGTGTTTATAAGAGTAGGTAAAAGGTAAACAGTCTATTGCATTTATATACCTTCATAAATACCATGAGGATTGTTTTTTAATTACGGATGTCCTTCCAATGTTTTTCATGTGGCTTATACAATGTTTTTTGACAAATTTTTATTAAACTGATGATGGAATGATTCAATTCCGAAAAGATCTTCTTTTTTAAAATAAAAATTTTAAGCATATAAAAAATTTAAATAAGCATTTTTTTATACTTTAATACACACGACCACCACGTGCTTTGTTTTCTTTAAATAAGTTTTTTGTACACCTCCCACCCAAGAATTCCATATCTAATTCTAGACTCAACTAGTGCATAATATAATATTTTTAAATATTTTAAATCTATTTTAGATTTGAGAAATTTAAACTTTGGAACCAAAGCTCCCAAACACTGTTATTTAATCTATCTAGACATCCCATCTTAAATGAGAGTCGATTTTTATTCCAAGATATTTTATAGTGTTACTTGGTTTTATAATTATATTTTCCTTGTGTTATTAATTATCATAGAAGTATAAGAAGATAGTGTTATTTTGTAACTGCAAAACGGAACAAAAAAGTTTTTTCATAATTGGTCTAGAAACACATAAGCAGTAGGTTGGCTATTGTCAATTACTTATGGTGAAACCCTAACATTTCATATTGTTCTGAAGCTATTTTCTTGTGGCATTTTAAATTAATTACTATTTAACTGGGAATACGCCACAATTAAAGATAAAAATACGAGTGCATTTTGGTGATAATTCTGGTGATCTCATAACTTACTATGGAATCACTAGAATTTTACTGTCATCATGTCATTTTAAAGTCATCATGTCATTTTTATGTTTGTCTTTTTAAAGACGAATTACATGCTATGATTTTTTTCTGATGGATATTCTAGAGTTAAAGTTGATTTCATGTAATCGAATGAACTATCTTATAAGTTAAAGTCGTCCTAGGAGCGCAACTCAACAATATTGACAATATCATTTTAAAGTCGTTCTACTTTAAAATGCATAATGTATGTCTGAATTGTCAATATAAATGAGTCAGATAAAATTAATTATTAGAAGAATTTTTCGCTATGTAACAAAAAACAAAATTTGTTTAATTTACTGTTTGTATTTTGAGAACGATTTCCGAAGTGGAAATTGAAACGTCAATAAACGTATTTTAATCTTTAATTGTGGCTTTTTCCCAGTTAAATAGTAATTAACCTAACATTTAAATGGTCAAAATGGTGTCCAGTTTTTAAATGATGGTCTACTGCCGCGTACGTATTTTTCTTTTTTGTACAGTCCGTTGTACAGTCAGTTGTACAATGTCTCCTTACCCTGTATTAAAAAAAATTATAGACGATCTTATTTGTGCTTTTCCTTCTTTACAAATTCGAAAGATCTTGAAAATTTTTTATTAATACTTGTTGGAAAACCAACTAATTATTCAACTGTTTCAATTTAACCTAACGCCGCTCTGTTCCTGAAGAACACATGTTAGCCCTTATTTGTTAAAAGAACCAGAAATCTTCAGTGCATTTGACGCCCCTCTTACACCCGCTGACCTTTGTCATTTACCCAAGCTGGCCACATATTGCATACAAGCATATAAGGGCAGTCGCATTAAGTAGTTCAAGTTAAGAAGTCGCTAAATAAGTTATTCTCTCTCCTCGTTCTCTCTCTCTCTCACCGTATATAGATATATTACAAGTTTAATTTATATGTTAGTTTAGTGTTGCAAAGTGCAAGGTGTATATATGTAAAATAGTTCGCAAGTAAAATAAAGCGAAGAAGTAAAGTGTTAGTGTATAATTTCACCCCCACAAGAGTAACAAAACGAATCAGCAACCTACGCTTAAATCCTGTAACAAATCAAGACAGGTCACCACAAGGGTTTTGGTGCTCTCAGGGAACGTTGAAAATAACCCCATCGTTTCCCTTTAATACTTTTAATAAACATATAGGTAGGTACAATTTATTTCAGAGAAAAAAAATGAATGTTCGATATCATTTCTGGACACCAAATTAATAAGAACTAAACAAAACAAAATTACTGATAGAGTGGTATCATGATATCAAAAGACAACACAATCTGAAAGATATTAAACTATTTTTCAAATCATCCTATTCATATGTCCGCGTATACTACCGCGTATGTAATTTTTAACTTGGCAACACCGAGGCACCGAGCAGCTACAGCACATGAATGGGAACTTCAGTTTTGTAATCTAATCTCTAATCTTGTAATTCAGAAATTCAGTCAATCTCAATGCTCTTGTTTGTTTGTTGTGTGTAGTAATAAGTGAGCGAAGAAACATGGGGTGTTGCGCTAAAGTTGGTGCTCTTGTAGCAGTCCTTTTAGCTGTTTTAATTGTATATTGTACAAAATCTTTGCTTGAAACTCCAGAAGTGCCAGATCTGGGCGAAAGATGGTGGAAAGTGGCAAAGCCGGCGAAAGTAGATACTAGTATCAAGCCGTTTAAAATTCAAATATCAGATGAAGTAAGTTTCATTATATCTATTACATATTTGAAGCAATATTTAATTTAAGCAATTAGCTCAATTTATTATTAAGTGTTTACCATGTATTGTGGGGACTTCTTTACGTATCTAGGCCTGGTTTTGGATAGATGTTATCTAATATGATTCTAAAAACTATTTTCGTGGGGCATTTTTATATTAAATACTATATTTTAAGGGAATAAACCACATTTGTCGTTTTAAATTGTATATCAGAAATCGTTCTCACAAATAAAACAATAATACCGTTATAATAAGACATTATCATTTTAAAGCGATGAATTTTATATGAATGAAGCAGGTAAACTTTTAAGCTACTAAAACTACTATTACGCCATAAACTTAATTGTCTTGAAAAAAACTTCATTGTATTTAAAAAAGCTCAAATTTTATTGTTTTCTTTGGTGCAAACTAATAAAAGTATCAAAACAACCAAAAAACAGCATAGAACTTAATAAAAGCATTTTTTACTCGAAAAGACAATAAAAATGCTCAATTGTCTTGATCATAACAACAGTAAGCAAACAATAATAGATGCTAATGATTTTTACTACTAAACGATGTAAAAATACACTATTTTTGAATTTGCGATATTTATACATCTTCCGAAACAGTATGGCTGATATGCTCCAAAGTTATATTATGTAGGTATTTTAAATCATTTAAAATTTGATACGAATAATACACAACGTAATAATCATCATTATCATTTTCTTTGCCTTTATTTATATGCGGAATGGGCTTCCCTAATTCCATAAGTTTCTGTCTTTGGTCTACCAATATCAATCAATCCCTTTAACCGACATATCCTGCCTAAGTGACTTCTCCCAGGTCTTCTTTGGTCTATCTTCATATTGCTCAATCCTTCATATTGTTCAAATCATCTTAACCTATGCTCTCTCATTTTGTCATCAAAAGGTGCCACCCCTAGATTCCCCCTTATATACTATGATGATATTGTACTTTGAACGAAGTAGCGAACGGCTGCTCGTGTTTTGGTTGGAGAGCTAGGTCGTGTATTCCAGGTTTCTTTATTTGGGGGACTGGGGAAACTAACTACACAAAAAAGAAATCAAAAAAATACTTACAGAGATTTCCTGGGCAACAATACATAAAAAGATTCCTAAACTATTTAAATTGAACGCCGGCCGTTAAAAAAATCCTCTAGCTGGTTAGAAAGAAAGGCTTTTCTTCCCTTAGAATTGGATACAAATCAAACACTGTAACACACAAACTGTAAATGATCTGGTATGACCCATGGAGACACAAAATGGACAAATATTGGGGAGGTCAATTATTGAATTGGGCTTCATGTTATTTTAATGATAACAAAATGTATTCTTCCAAACTCGGCTGATAAATTTTCAATTAAAACCATGTAGAACTCTTAAAACCTTGAAAACGCTGTTTTTAAACCCGTTGCACGGAATACAGCAACAGGCCGGTGATTATTTAACTCATTAAACAAAGACTGCCAAATAGCATTTTGGGATTAAATTCACCTCCTAACTCATAGAATTAAACAAAAATATTTTGCCGGTTTTTTTTTAATATCTGCCGAGAACCCACTCTACCATTCTGAAGTCAATCTGCATCTTCTCTAACTGCTACTACACAACACTTGACATTAATGAATCAGTACATAATACAAACATTAGTAAATTCAATTTACTAATGTTTGTATTTTGAGAACGATTTCCGAAGTGGAAACTGAAATGTCAAGAAACGTATTTTAACCTTTAATTGTGGCTTCTTCTTCTTCTTCTTCAGCCTGTGTTCGTCCACTGTGGACATAGGCTCTTCCATTTGCTTCCATCGATTTCTACTTTTGGCAATTCTATCCACTGCTTGCCCGCGACTTGTTTGATATCGTCTGTCCACTCTTCTGCGGTCTGCCTACTCCTCGCCTGTTCTCTCTTGGTCTCAGTTTGTTAATTTTTGTGTCCATTTTTCGGGATTATCTCGGGCAACGTGTCCGGACCCATTTGCCACTTGAGCCTTGCAATACGTTCTGAGGACATCAGTAATTTTTGTTCTTTCACGAATTACGTTATTTCGAATCCTGTCGCTCAAACTAATCCCTAGCATGGCCCTCTCCATTGCTCTTTGGGTTTGTACTGAGCTGCTCTATAGGTTTTCTTTGTGAAGGGCCATGGTCTCCAGTCCATATGTAGTTACAGGCAAGATACATTTGTCATAATTGTGGCTTATTCCCATTTAAAATAGTAATTACTTTAAAATGCCACAAGAAAATAGTTCAGAACAATATATTTTAAATTTTAATTGTTTTTTTTTATTTATTGAACAATTTATATTAATCAATGTTTCAGGACTCGAAAAATTAATACTTAAAAAACAATAAAGGAACACTAACACGTATAAATATTTCGGACAAAACCAAAGAAATGTTTTCAGTGTGTTTGATTCACATTTATATGTTAAATATATATTACATCAAGGTCAACTGCAAAATTTGATTTATAATTGATGTTTTTTTTTATTTCAATACAATGTAACAAAAAAAAAGAACAAAAACAATTTTAACTAATTTGCATGTCGTGCCAGAATGTTCTGCTTTTTCTATTACAGATCGACTGAAAAAATCGATTTAACAAGATTCTGTACGCCGTATAAAAATGTTTCAAATAGAAAATGTTGAGATAATTTTTAGCAAAAATGTTTTTGAATGTAATTTACGCGCACGAAATCAATTTTATATAAAAAAAGTTATGAACTCGACGGTTAAAAATTCGATATTTTTTATCAGAGTGTCCGATAAATAGATATCAATATGCCTCTCTTGGTTTTGCAAATAAGCAATATAATATAATCTAAAAAGAAGTAATAATCTGCACGAGTACTGTTCAATCACAAATTAATCCCTTAATTTGTAATTTCATATTATTCTTAACTTCTAAACCTTTTATAATTTCACCTGTTTTAATTTGAAAACATTCGCTAAGGATTTCTGCTTAGTTGAGGAGACATGTCGTGGAATGCAAATTTTAGATTCCCATGTCTCTTTTAACATCTTTATCAACGTCTGTTTACCTTGCAATTTTTAGAAGTTTCAGATTAAAGCAGAAATCTGAATAGGTTTCGAAAACTATTTTACGGATTTATTATCAGATGTCGCTATTGCGTCCATATCAAAGCCATTTTAATTTTTAAGATTTATTTTTCACGTTGGAGAACGCCTATGAATAGCTGTTCTGATGAGGCCTATTAGGCCGAAATGCGTATAAACAGATACATACACGCTTTGTACGTGAAATCTAATCTTTACTGTCTTTTTTATTATATCGAGTAATATTTTAATAATTAAAGTACATTCACCTGCAAACTTAATAAATTGCCAAATAATATATTTTCTAATTGATTTTCCTAAGTGTTGCAATAACGGCCTAGATTAAATTGTATTTTAAGCTCATAGTTCAGAGTTTGTTAGTATAATAGAGGTGTTAACCTCTGTGTTGAGGTATACATTATTTGTGAAATTAAAAATTGGGGATTTGAGCTCATTTGAGCGCAGTCTATTATAGAAATTACCTAACCAATAACTAGAGTGTACTTATCAGTAGCTGTCAATAAAACTATAATTTTTACTCCACACTTTAACCATTTTATTGTATTATCGTCGATCGAGAAGAATCGGACAAAGGGAATTTAGAAATAGTTCGAACTTATAATTATATTCGAATTTGTCCAAGTACTAAATGAGGAAGCTAAAATTGAGGTTTTAGGAACACATTTGTTGCAAATCACGCTAAGAGAACATCATTAGCAAGGGATGTCACCTTATAATTTTTCAGTTATATGAAGGAGCGATAACAGATTGGTTACTGAAAACTGAACCATGACATAATATTATATATAGTTTAATATTACCCTAATATCGAATTTATCAGTCTCTCCCTACATATGCAAATAGTTTGGGTGTTTGCAAACACATTCACATACACATACATTCAGTATCAACCAAAGTACTCCTAGAACATTATTTTCTGTTCTTTATGTTATATAGTGCTTTACCATCTTGCCCATTTATTATTTAAGTTACCCTTCCGGTTTTTGCCTCCACCGGAGGTCGGATTTTTCATTTAATATTAAAGTATCTCTTCCAGGGAATTTTTTATACTTTTTACTTCTTTGGTATCAAGTTTATCGTATAAATCCTCATACTAGTACTTTTGCTGTTGCTGTTTCGACATCTAATTCTTTTTCCTTATATATTCTTCCTCTTCTGTCTACATAAAATATATTGCTCACTATATACAGTATGAATTTTTTTTTATATTTATAATAAAATACTGTGCATTAAAAAAAATTAGATAATTATAGAATCAATTTTATCAATGCTTTAAGTACATCAGGGGGTTATCTCAAGGTCTTTTAAGGTATGTTTAAAATGCGAGAGTGTCTAAATGTATTGTAATTGTCTCCCTAAAATTTATCTCATTGATATGATAATAATATGAGTTTTAAACAATCTGCAGTTGAGTTTATCTTATGAACTTTGTGTCGCTTTTTCTACTATCTTGTTGCGATGCGATATTAAGTGTTGGATATTGTTCTTTCTTAAAATATTCTTAATAATTTTTCACTGTCCACACTTTTCTATTATTTATTGTATAAGTAAATAATTTAATGATTTGGAATAGATATATGAGAAACATCATCGAATACTATTTTTAACTTAATTACCATTTAACTGGAAATAAGCCACAATTAAAGATAAAAATACGTTTATTGACGTTTCAATTTCCACTTCGGAAATTGTTCTCAAAATACAAACAGTAAATTGTAAACTACAAGGAGAGTTCATGGTACTACAAATGGGTCTAAGTGGTATATTCGTTTTATGAATTTTCTGGTACTCCATAAAAATGAGGACTCTTACTGTAATGAGGTGTAATTAATCCTCTCTGATAACTTGTTAAAAATCTTTAAACTTGAATAAAGTTCTATATACTTTGTTTTCCAAAGGCATAGTTGGATCTTTTGTTAATTTTGAATAAGGTCCGTTTATTATAGATCTTTAATTTTGTTTCCGTATTGAATTTTATCCATTATCACAGTTGCATTCCCTTGTCTGCTGGTAGGATGATTATGGAGTCGTCATTTTTAAAGTTCCTCTTTGCTTATGTTTTGTTTAAATTTTAGTAGATTTTTCCAATTCAAGTTTACATAACACTCTGTATTCTTCCTTTTCGTGGGTTGGTAAGCATTGAGATATTTTCTCACTGAGCTTATTATGTCTAATTTTGGAACGGATTGCTGAGTAATAGCAAAGTTTAGACCTTTGACAGTATTAAATTCTCCGTTGCATTTAAATGTCTATTTGATAGATTGACAACTGTCGCTAATATGTCATCATTTCTATTGAGGTTATCTAAAGTGTTTATACTGTTTTGTTCTAAAAGAATATTAAATTTATTTAAATGTATATTTCTTTGTTTTCTATATGAATTTTCATATACTATATGTAAACTAAAAATAATTTGATCAAAATCAGAATTTGATATCACATTGAAAGCAAATGTTCAATACTTACAATATCTTGTTCACAAAAAATAAATTCGATCTATGATATTGTAATCTTTCTCGGATCATGGACAAACTGGCTCTATGTAGAATCTTTTCCAACCTTCTGCTTGAATATGCTGGTCGTAACTTCAAGCCCTTTGGTATTAGGTTGTTGTCTCTACATCTTCGTAAAAACTGAATTTGAAATTGAATTTTGACAGTGTGCCAGTTTCTTGTATAGAATTTCCAATCTCCGAAAATTTTGAATAACGCTGGGTCCATAACGGTTTCTTAATATTGTTCTGAATGGTAAAAGTATGAAGTATGAATCAAATAAAAATATTGAAAATATCGAAACGTAGATGTTAAAAGTATTTTTAAAGAACAGGTGCTGATAATGTCTAATACGTCTTTTACGCCATATAAAAAGAAGTTATTTTATAAGTTTTTTTTTTATATTCGTTCGAAAAATTATAATCAAATCTAAATATATAAATATCTTTACATTTTTAAAATGCAGAGTCTAATAACATAGAAATATTCGTAATCTTCCATAAAATTATTGAACACTATAGTCGAAGAAAGAAAAAAACCAGAAACAGTAGCATTAGATGATTAAATTAAGTTCTACGATAAAAATATTTTAAATTACGCCGCAAATATTTATTAAACAAAGACGGGAAAAACCAATACAATAGCTTTATAATAATCTTTTTCCTTGAGGTTATTTCATACCCCTCCCTAAACGAGGTGGCCTAGTTGCCTGGTTTCAACTACGTAACTACTACTGGAGGGTTTCTGGGTGACCCCCCCCTCCCGGTTACGCCACTGCCTGGTTTAGTGTTGAGTGTCTGAACCGCGGATCTGCAGTAAGTTTTTGAAACGGACCTCAGGCATATAATTGGTGACCCCTGCTCTAGACAATGTTTCAATATTCCAGGGCCCTAAGGTCCCTTCGTTTTGTTGGTAATTTTTCAGGAATTTAAAAAAAGAAAAGCTGTTCTAGGCTGTCATGCTGTCAGGTCGTCTAGGCTGTCAATAACAGTGGCATTTTTCTTGATCGTCGGTATGTCTAGTAGGGATACAGGATATCGTTATTTAGAGGCACCTCATTTATTAACATAATATGGACAAAGCTGTTCTGTCTTTCTGAACCAATTTAATTATATGTAGAGACTAGCAGAATCTAGATACATGAAGAAAAAGTGCTGTTAAATAATATTTACCATTAAAACTAAAAACTGTGATTAACGTTAAAGTCGTATGGAGTTTTATTTCTTTTTTATTCTAATTTTTATATTCTTACAGATTTTAAAAGACTTAAAGGACAGACTAGATCGTACTCTTCCATTCCAAGCACCACTAGATGGCGTTAAACAAAACTATGGAATGATCACTAACCTTCTGAAAACTATAGTGGATTATTGGAAAAACAAATACGACTGGAGACAAAGGGAGAAGTTTTTCAACCAGTATCCACAGTTCACTACCAATATCCAGGGACTTAACATCCATTTCCTTCATGTCAAACCTGCTGAGACTAAAGGACTGAAGGTTTTCCCGATGTTGATGTTGCACGGATGGCCAGGCTCGATTAGAGAATTTTATGAAATTATCCCACTTTTGACCAAACCGCAGAAGGGCAGAGATTTTGTGTTTGAACTGATTATTCCAAGTTTACCAGGTATGGGATTATTTTATACCACCAACACTTTTATTTAAAGTGTTTCTAGAATAAGTATGTATTTTACGAATGTGTCGGATATATTTTTTATTAATGATAGTGTAATACTATTAATACAGTAGACTATACATTTTTATTATTAAAGTATGTAGTTACAAATATAGCTTATTATATTCTATTGTCATATGTACAGTTGCGGTCACGGAATAGTTTACACCTTACTTTTTATATTGTAATACTGTAAAATTGCAGTGTCGTACGGATTTGATAAATGTCAAAGTCAAAAAATTTCAAAACGTCAATGCTTTCGCGAGTGTTCAACAATAAAATAAAAGTATATTAAACTCTTCCAAAATGGTTAGAATACATTTGAATTATGCGCAAAAAGCAAGAGCAATTGCCAAACTCGAAGAAGGTTGGTCACTAAGGCAAGTTGCTGCTGATTTGAACGTGAGTCATATGTGCATATGGAAGATTAAACAAAGATGGGATAATTTTCACTCTATAGCACGGTTGGGCGGTTCAGGAGGGCAGAAGATTTCCACAGATCAACAGGATGAGATGTTAGTAGATTATTTGAGAGAATCTCCTTTTGCCACAGCTCAAAAGGCAAGAGAAGAGGCAGCGTTTCCAGGCAGTATTCGCACTGCACGTCGAAGAATTAAAGCAAGTGGACTGCTAAATTGTGTAGCTGCACGGAAACCTTTTTTGACTGAGGATCACAAGAGGAGACGAGTTGAATTTTGTAATGAATTTATAAACCGCGATGAGAATTTTTGGTCTAGGGTTGTATTTTCGATGAAAAAGTATTTCAGTCGTATAATAATGGTCGAATAAGAGTTTATAGGCCGAGAAATCATAGGTATGATGAACAGTATACGCATCATTTAAGAAATAGTGGAGGATTCTCTGTCAACGTATGGGGATGGATAAGTGCCGAAGGCCCGGGCGTTTGTTATCATGTAGAGGAGAAGTTAACAGGATTATATTACAAACATATTATTGAGCACACAATGTTGCCATCGGTGATCCAGAGATTCCCCAACAACGACTTTATCTTCCAACATGACAATTGCCCGGTGCATACGAGTAGAATTGTTCGAGAATGGCTAGAAGAAACTGATGTTAATGTTCTTCCGTGGCCTTCCCGTAGTGCAGACTTTAACCCGTCGAAAATGTGTGGGCAGAGTTAACAAAGAAACTAAATGAAAGAAACCTTAGACCACGGAATAGAATTGAATTATGGGAAGCAATTGAGCAGGCATGGGAAGAGCTTGTTAACTATAACATGAGGGGATTGGTGCTATCTATGAACAGAAGACTGCAAAATTGTATTGACAAGAATGGGGCTTCCACCAAATATTAATTATTATTTATCATTGTTTATCGTTATTTAATATAAAATAGATTTAAAATAAAATGCATATTAAAAAAAAAGACTTCTTTATTTTCGTTATTAAGATCATAATCCATTTTATTCAAAAAACTGTTTTCTATATTTTTCATTTTGTAAAATATTTTGATATTTTAATTTTAATCTGCCGGTCAGGCCATGGAGTTTAGGGTGCCTGCAATGTAAAATGACGTGTACCCTATCCTTCATGCTATGGCATGCTGGACGAGCCATACAGTCTGTAGTCAACACCCCGAAGTATGAGCGGGAACACAAAGTGCATCAATACTCATACTCTTATGAAACGCACCTGGCGGATCATAAGGGCCTTCACATTTTACTCTTCTTCAACTTGTCTTGAGTGAAATGTCTTTAATCTTTTCTATCAGCCTCTCTTGGCTAACTCTTGTTTCTTCCGACCCCGAATGGCGATTAGGTTTCCGAAAGCAGACGGGTCACTATATTTCTTTTTACTTCATATTCTTCTCTGACCGAGTATAGGCGGTATAACCTTAACATCTCGCACGAAGGAAATGTCGCTGCCACCTCCAGGACTACTACCCTCTGAGGCTTGTCTGGACGCTACAGTCGGCAGCCCCGGCACCAGACTCGGGTGCGGAAGGCCAATAACCTACCCATCTTAAATTTTATCATATTACTGAAACTTTGGTAGAAACAAACCGGACGGATCAAATGTTGACGACCTTGGCATCACCGAAAACACGGACACGATTTGGTTGCTGGAATGTTAAAACTCTGTATGAGATTTCTAAACTAGCTCAAGCAGTAAAAGAATTAAACAGGTATAGATTAAGCTTTGTTGGTCTATCGGAAGTCAGATGGTTGGGAAATGGTGAACACCATACCCAAACAGGAGAACTCCTATTATACAGTGGTAAAGAAAATGGAAATCACGAGAGCGGAGTGGGTCTTCTACTCAGCAAACAAGCCAAAAAAAGCCTCATTTCATGGAAACCAATCAATGATAGAATTATGATTGCCAGATTTTATACCAGATACCGCAAGATAACAGTGATTCAGTGCTATGCTCCCACGAACACATCTCTCCACGAAGATAAAGACATATTCTACGAACAACTAGAACAAACGACCCAACAAGTAAACCAAGGCGATATACTAATAGTGATGGGCGATATGAACGCTAAAGTTGGAGAAGACAATATTAACTTAGAAACCGTAATGGGCAAACATGGCCTGGGAGTGATGAATGAAAACGGAGAGCGCTTTACAAATTTTTGCTCCAATCATAGCTTAGTTATTGGTGGAACTATCTTCCCACATAAAAATATTCACAAGGTTACATGGACTGCACCAGGTCATATAAGAGAAAATCAAATAGACCACATCGCCATATCAAAAAGATGGAGATCATCCCTCCTTGATGTACGTAACAAAAGAGGAGCAGACATCGCAAGTGACCATCATCTTGTAATCGGTACCATTAAAATCAAAATGGCAAAAAACAAAATCACACGAAACACCAAACGACCAACATACAATCTAGACAAATTAAAAACGGCTACAGGAAGACACATGTTTAGGGAGGAACTTCAACTCAAAAGAAGAGAACGTGAAGTAAATAGCTGGGAAGATCTGGCAAATGTTTTGACAGAAATAGCTGAAGATAAACTCGGTAAAAAAGAGAAACATAGAAAAGAATGGATATCAGATGAAACTTGGAATCTTATCGAAGAAAGAAAACAGCAAAAAAAAGATATTCTGCAAGCAAGAACTGTAGAAGAAAGAGCGAACCGACAACAAGAATATGAAACAATAAATAAAGCAGTTAAAAGAAATGCAAGAAGAGACAAAAGAAGATGGACAGAAGAACTGGCAAAACAAGCCGAAATAGCTGCACAACACAATAGAACTAGAGAGCTATACCAAATTACCAGACGTCTAACAAAAAGTGGGCCCAACTGTTCAAACGTCGTAAGATCCAAGACAGGAGAACTACTTACCACAACAAATGACCAAATAGAGAGATGGAAAGAGCATTTTCAGGAGATGCTAGGCACGCCCAGGGATAACGCAGATGAAATTGTCGAAAATCCACAGAATATAGACTTGCGTATATCTTGCGACGCCCCTTCCAAAACAGAGATAATAACAGCTATCAAATCTCTGAAAAATAACAAGTCTCCGGGAATCGATAACATTGCTGCCGAAATGCTTAAAACTGATCCGCATCTAACTGCTGAACTTCTGCTCCCCATAATCCGAGAGGTGTGGGAAACAAACCGCATTCCAGCGGGCTGGAAAAAAGGCATCATTACTAAGCTTCCAAAAAAGGGCAACCTCACACTATGCAAAAATTGGAGAGGAATAACCTTGCTTACCGCCATAAATAAAATCTTCACGACCATCATACTTAAAAGATTAACAAACAAGGTTGAATTTCGAGCTAATCAAGTAGGCTTTAGACCAGAATCCTCCTGCATAGACCACATTAATACTGTGAGGCTAATAATGGAACAATCGGTTGAATGGAACACACCCCTATACATGGTTTTTGTTGATTTCGAGCGTGCTTTTGACAGCTTATCTCATGATGCAATATGGAAAATTTTAGAGCTAAGAAACATCCCGCATAAAATAATTTCCATTATAAAGTTACTGTACACTGAAGCGAAATGCAGCGTGACACACAATGGGATCAACAGTGACGAATTTGACGTACTTACTGGAGTCAGACAGGGATGCGTGCTTTCTCCGTTTCTTTTTAACATAGCTCTAGACTATGTTCTCTCCAAACTAGACTCTGACACAAGAGGGATACAATGGACGTTAACCACACGCCTAAGCGATCTAGAATACGCCGACGATATCTGCCTGTTAGGACAAAGGTTCCAAGATGTGGCTGACCAATTGGAAACACTTTCCACTGAAGCCAATAAAATAGGTTTGAAAATCAATATTGGTAAAACCAAATCCATGAGAATAAATGCAAGAAACAACACGCTATTCACCATTAATAACATGCAGATTGAAAATGTGGAAAACTTTACGTATCTTGGAAGTGTCATAACAGAAAGCGGAGGTACAGAAGACGATATTCGTATGAGGATACGAAAAGCGCAACAAGCTTTCAGCATGCTCAACCCTGTTTGGAGGTCTGGAGAATACACTACGAGGACAAAGATCCGCATATTCCAGTCAAATGTCATGTCTGTACTACTTTACGGATGTGAAACCTGGAAAGCGACAAAAACCCTTACAGACAAACTGCAGGTCTTTGTTAATAAATGTCTACGAAGAATTGTTCGTATTTTCTGGCCTAACATCATCAGAAACGAAGACTTACTACACCTGACCAAACAAAAGAGGGTAGTAAATGAAATAAAGTCCAGAAAGTGGGGTTGGATCGGTCACACACTCCGAAAAAATAACTCCAGTATTGCAAAGACTGCCCTAGAGTGGAATCCCCAAGGAAAACGAAAAAAAGGTCGCCCAGTACAAACTTGGAGAAGATCCATCATGGACGAGATAAGAAAACAAGGAAAGTCTTGGAATGAGGTGAAGGCCTTAGCGCAAAATAGAACCCGATGGCGCGTTTTCACTGAAGCTCTATGCTCCACTTAGGAGT